TTCAATCCAATGAAATCATATTTGAAGTTTGTTCTCTTTGTTGAAATTGATCATTGATCGTTAGTTAAATAAGGATTGAATTCCCTATATTTCTGAAAATAATTTAGAGTGATATATGGGGCCCCATCGCCCTCCACGTTAACCTCTATATATTATTTGTATCTAATAGATTTGGTAAAAATATTAGATGATTGCATGGTATTTGCAACCTGAAGTTTGGAAAAGTGCTACTCAAATTATGAGCATAATTTTCAGATTATACAATTAAGATGGTGTGTATTTTTAATACTAGCGATCCTAAATCTTAACTTTTTAATAAGTGTTAGTTGAGATTGTTAGTTGAGATATCGATAAATGATTTAACATTATTGTTTGTTAAACGTCTCCAATTAATTGAGAATCAAATACTTCCCATTTTAGTCTAGGGAAAGACATTACGCATCATGCCAACATCATAATTCTCCAAGTTATAACTTGGCTTATGGTCAGAGCCCAACTTTTCCATCAAATTATTTCGATAGTGCAGTATAGGTAAAATTAATCTACCATAATGCACTGAGATAGAAAGTAAAAAATTCTAAGAATAAAACCGTACTATGAATCCTTATTCTAAATTGATGATATTCTATAACTCAGTAAAATGATTGTGAATTTGATTTGACAATTCTCTTAGCATTAGAGGGAATAATTAAGAAGTTGAAAATAATATACAAGTGCATCATTATCTAAATTCTCGCAAAAGAAAATTCGAACCAGAAGTTTGAAAGATAATTTATTTATATGTATTTAGTGACCAAAGAGATTAATAATCTCACACATCAGTTTTAAATGCTCCAACTCGAATTGACTCCTGTAAGGAAAATTCGTTGATATTATATTTGATAAATTTATGAAACACCTGAAACGTGATAATATTCGATTCTATTTCAAAATTCTCCAAACAAAAATGGATTAATTGGTAAAGATGGTCTTATTAAGGAGACATATACCCTTAATGAGAATTTAGACATAACATATTATAAAACCACAGAAGAGGTTCAAGTACTTAAAATAATGAAAATTGAGATATCTCAATAAGTTATATCATTATGTGAAAAGAAAATATAATCTTAAAGAAAAGAAAAAGTCGTCGACAACATTTTTGTGCATAATGTACCGCTTCATATAGCGAGGTTGAAGTATATCAATCGAAGTAATGATTGAGAAAATAAAAGGACGCATGTGGTATATTCGCCTTAGCGAATACTTGTTGAAGAAATGATATAAAAATAATGATATCTGCCCATATATTTTCATAAAGAAAATAAATATTGGATTTGCAATTGTGTCAGTTTATTTTGATGACTTAAATTTAATTAAGACTTCTGAAGAATTCAACAAAACTACAGATTATTTTAAAAATGAGTTTGAGATGAGAGATTTGGGAAAAACTAAATTCTGTTTCGGGTTGTATATTGAACATTTCTCAGATGGATTATTTGTTTATCAATCTATATATACAGAAAAGTTTTAAAACGATTTTATATGGATAATGCACATCTATTGGTATCATCTATGGTTGTTCGATCACTTGATGTGAAAAAAAGATTATTTTCGTCAACTTGAAGATGGAGAAAAGATTATTGGTCATGAAATACCATATTTTAGTACAATTAGAGCATTAACTTATCTTACAAACCGTACTCGACCAGATATAACTTTTTCTGTAAATCTCCTTATAAGATATAGTTCTACACCAACACAAAGACATTGAAATTGTGTTAAACATATTTTTCGTTATTTAAATGGTACTATTGATTTGAGATTATTTTATTCTCAAAAGTAAGGATCCGCTTTGGTGAGATATGCATGTTATCTCTTTAACCCACATAAAACTAAATCACAAAACAGGATACATGTTTACACGTGGAGGAACAGTTAT